CATTGCGCGGCAAGGCGCGAGGCTAGACTATGTGTCATAGGAGCTGCAATGAGAGCCACAGGCCAGCCACAAAAGCAAAGCAATCTTTTTTAGCGATACCCGGCCTTCAACCGTTGATAAGTTAATCCCTTAATTTGTCTAAGACGGGGCAAAGCGGAGAGAAGCAAACGCAGCCGACGGCTTCTAGTCCGGAAAACGCAAAGCCAAAACAGTCTCAACGCAGCCGACGGCTTCTAGTCCGGAAAACGCAAAGCCAAAACAGTCTCAAGGGGCGCTTTGGCCGCAGGGGAGTGGTTGAAGCGGGGAAGCTTACCGTCTGAAAGAGGAAGGCTCTGACTCATAGCTAGTGAGTTGGTCAATCCGCTTTGAGAGAGCTGATTTGCTTTACTTGCTGGTTCGATAGGCAGGGAATGAGTTGAAATGACCCCCATAAACCATCCCTTGTGGTTTCCTCTTTAGAGAATCCCCTTCCGGTTCAGTCCCTGGGTCATTCCGTACCTATCGCACCAGCAAGAAGAATAAATTGGAGATCGATCCCCATCCAGGATGTCTTTCACGGATTGCCATGGATCTGACTCTGTAAACTGCATGTGGCTCAATGCTTCACTCGCAAGGAGACCTCCTTGCAATCACCATCTATTTGAGATGTTCTTCTAGCGTATGGCTGTTCATTGCTCCAGTAACGCCAACAAACTTCAATGCTGTCTTGCGCCCATGATCGGCATGGTCTTCACACCCTTCTGTGGTAAACTGTTCTTGGTACCACACACACAAACACCCACACACACACACAGACACACACACAAACACACAAACACACAAACACACAAACACACAAACACACAAACACACAAACACACAAACACACAAACACACAAACACACAAACACACAAACACACAAACACACAAACACACAAACACACAAACACACAAACACCCAAACACACAAACACACAAACACCCAAACACACAAACACACAAACACACAAACACACAAACACACAAACACACAAACACACAAACACACAAACACACACAAACACACAAAAACACAAACACAAACACACACACACACACACACACACACACACACACACACACACACACACACACACACACACACACACACACACAAACAAACACCAACACACACACACACACACACACACACACACACACACACACACACACACACACACACACACACACACACACACACAAACACAAACACAAACAAAAACACAAACAAAAACACAAACACAAACACAAACACAAACACAAACACAAACACAAACACAAACACAAACACAAACACAAACACAAACACAAACACAAACACAAACACAAACACAAACACAAACACAAGCACAAGCACAAGCACAAGCACAAGCACAAGCACAAGCACAAGCACAAGCACAAGCACAAGAACAAGCACAAGCACAAGCACAAGCACAAGCACAATCACAAGCACAAGCACAAGCACAAGCACAAGCACAAGCACAAGCACAAGCACAAGCACAAGCACACACACACCACACGCACAACGCAACAACGCAACACGCACACGAAACACCACTACTTCACAAGCAGAAGCAGAAGCAGAAGCAGAAGTCAGAAGCATGATAACAAGAAAGCAGAAGCAGAAGTGAGAAGCAGAAGCAAAGAGAACGGGTCAAGAGCCCAAAGCACAAGCACAAGCACAAGCACAAGCACAAGCACAAGCACAAGCCCAAGCACAAGCCCAAGCCCAAGCCCAAGCCCAAGCCCAAGCCCAAGCCCAAGCCCAAGCCCAAGCCCAAGCCCAAGCCCAAGCCCAAGCCCAAGCCCTAGCCCAAGCCCAAGCCCAAGCCCAAGCCCAAGCCCAAGCCCAAGCCCAAGCCCAAGCCCAAGCCCAAGCCCAAGCCCAAGCACAAGCACAAGCACAAGCACAAGCACAAGCACAAGCACAAGCACAAGCACAAGCACAAGCGCAACAAGCAAGCAAGCACAAGCACAAGCACAAGCACAAGCACAAGCACAAGCACAAGCACAAGCACAAGCACAAGCACAAGCACAAGCACAAGCACAAGCACAAGCACAAGCACAAGCACAAGCACAAGCACAAGCACAAGCACAAGTACAAGCACAAGTACAAGCACAAGCACAAGCACAAGCACACACACACACACTCACTCACACACACAAGCACACACAAGCACACACAAGCACACACAAGCACACACATGCACACACATGCACACACAAGCACACACAAGCACACACATGCACACACATGCACACACAAGCACACACAACACACACACACACACATAACACACACAAGCACACAAGCACTCACACCAGCTCACACACACAGGCACACACACAAGCACACAGAAACAAGCACACACACACACAAGCATACACAAGCACACACACAAGCAAACACAAGCACACACACACACCAGCACACATAAAACACGCACACACATACACACATAACACACACACACATAACACGCACACACACACACAAGCGCACATAAAACACGCACACACACACATAACACGCACACACACACACAAGCACACACACAAGCACACACACAAGCACACACGCAAGCACACACAAGCACACAGAAGCACACACAAGCGCACAGAACACACACACATAACACACACACACACAGACAAAACACACACACAAACTAGAGGACGATTGGCCCGAAAGCATTTTCCCCCAAGCGTTTCCCATCATGTGCTTTTCCAGCCGCGGAGACGCCCTTTCACATCGATGCAGCAGCTTCTGCAAAGCAGGCTCGTGTAACTTGGCTCTGTGCCACCTGGCTCTATGTAACTTGGCTCTATGTAACTTGGCTCTATGTAACTTGGCTCTATGTAACTTGGCTCTGTGCAACTTGGCTCTGTGTAACTTGGCTTTGTGCCACTTGGCTCTGTGCCACTTGGCTCTGTACAACTTGGCTCTGTGCAACTTGGCTCTGTGCAACTTGGCTCTATGTAACTTGGCTCTATGTAACTTGGCTCTATGTAACTTGGCTCTATGTAACTTGGCTCTATGGTAACTTGGCTCTATGTAACTTGGCTCTGTGCAACTTGGCTCTGTGTCACTTAGCTCTATGTAACTTGGCTCTGTGCAACTTGGTTCTACGTAACTTGGCTCTGTGTAACTTGGCTCTGTGCAACTTGGCTTTCGGGCCACTTGGCTCTGTGCCACTCGGCTTTTTGCAACTTGGCTCCGTGCCACTCGGCTCTGTGCAACTTGGCTCCGTGCAACTCGGCTGTGCCACTTGGCTCGGCGCAACTTGGCTTTGTGCAACTTGGCTCTGTGCGACTTGGCTTCATGTAACTTGGCTCTTCTTTTCTACCGCTAGGCGCGTCTTGCGTCAGGACAGTGCCTCAGCAGAGTGTCACTGCCGCGCAGTTCCAAACAACCGCATCGAAAATTGCCAAAAAGCAAATGATCGCGTTAGATCACAGAGAGAACAGATAGATCACACTAATCCGCGACAGTCAGCGATGAAAAGCTGCTGGGGCCATCATCAGCTTGTCGGGTCCTCGCTGTTCGTGCTCCGAGCGGACATCTCCTCGAGCTTCTTCATCCTCTCGACCAACATGCCGTTGCGCTGGTGCAAGAAGCCTTCGAAGTACTGTCGATCGGGCAGCGCAGCGATCGTCAGGTCGCTCAGCTTGGTGGCGCGCGACAGCATAACGTACAGAGCCAGCCCATAGTCGGCCTCTCTCCTGGCAGTCTGCCAGCCGCCACCAGCCTGACTGGCATGCTCTTCAGGAAGAAGCGCAGAAAACACACAACGCAAGCTGCACCCTTCACGTCCGAACCAGCAGACAAAAACACTTATTACAGTACACAGATCCAGCCTGCTCGCTGGTCACCGCGAGCGTCCAGAACGGCAGCCAGCAGCGCGTGCTGCAAAGGAACGCGCAGGCCAGGAGTCGCCACTCCCTGCAAGCTAGCCACAGCGTCTTCCCACTCCTGTGGCGAGTATCCGCGCCTCTTCAGCAGCAGAGCAGTGCCTGCGGGCAATGACCTCCACGGTGACATCCAAACAGTACGCCGCGGCAGCCCTGCGCAAGTTCGAGGACTCGACGATGTCCCGCGCAGCAGCAGCCACAGCTTCAGCAGTTTCTGCTCGGGCATCACGCAGCTTGCGAAGCAATCGCCACACGTGGTGCTTGATGTCCGCTTGAGCGCCTGGAGCAGCCAGCGGGCACAAAGCCATGACAATCCTATGAACCAATGTGTCCCTGGTGATATTCTCGAACGGGACGCCCAGCTCCGTAGCCAATCCTTGTAAACACGGCTCAGCATTGCGCAGTGGAACTCCACGAAGTCGGGCCCGAAGACTGGGGCCGCCCTGTCGCCTAGCGCCGCTGCCAACTGCCGCAAGCCATCTGCGGTACGTAACGGGGTCGTCGGAGCTGGCGTGCCCCGCAGTATCCTCAGGCCGACAGAATACGGAGAAGCGCGCGCGAACCCAAGCACTCCGTCTCTAAACAGCGCAGCGTATATCGCACTGCAAGCTCGTACGCAGGAAACGCCACCCAACCGAGTAACGTGGCGTCGCTCCCCCATCGCGCCTGCTCCTTGGAAACGTGCTGCGCCACCTTCTCTAGCAGCTCCGCTTTGGACATGTTACGTCCAGCTTCACGTTGCTGCACGCCCGGCGCCAGCAAGCTGTCGCAGCTGCGCGGCGGTCTGCTTGGCCAGCTCCTCGCGCAGCCAGCCAGCTCCCCGTGCGGCCAAGCCTTCTCGCATAGAGTCCAGCAGCTGCTGCGACTCGGAGGCCACAGGATCCTGAGCCACAACTACACAAAAGATGCGAGTCGCAACTACACAACAGATGCCCCAACACTGGCCTATCATAGCCAATGTGATCGAGTTGTTTTATGCCTCGGGACTGACCTATGGCTTCAACGCGACAACGCCACAGGAGGTCTGCGCAGCAACAGCAGCCCAACTGAGCAACGCGGCGTCGTTCCCTCATCGCGCCTGCTTCTCGGAAATGTGCTGCGCCACCTTCTCTAGCAGCTCCGCTTTGGGCAGGTTGCGTCCAGCTTCGTATTGCTGCACGCCCGCGGCGCCAGCAAGCTGTCGCAGCTGCACGGCGGTCCGCTTGGTGAGCTCCTGGCGCAGCCAGCCAGCTCCCCGCGCGGCATAGCCTTCTCGCAGAGTGTCCAGTAGCTGCTGCGACTCGATGGCCACAGGATCCTGAGCCACAACTACACAAAAGATGCGAGTCGCAACTACACAACAGATGCCCCAACACTGGCCTATCATAGCCAATGTGATCGAATTGTTTTATGCCCCGGGACTGACCTATGCTGTGGAAACCACATGGACATCGGCTTCAACGGGACAACGCCACAGGAGGTCTGCGCAGCAACAGCAGCCCAACTGAGCAACGCGGCGTCGTTCCCTCATCGCGCCTGCTTCTCGGAAATGTGCTGCGCCACCTTCTCTAGCAGCTCCGCTTTGGACATGTTGCGTCCAGCTTCACGTTGCTGCACGCCCGGCGCCAGCAAGCTGTCGCAGCTGCGCGGCGGTCTGCTTGGCCAGCTCCTCGCGCAGCCAGCCAGCTCCCCGCGCGGCCAAGCCTTCTCGCATAGAGTCCAGCAGCTGCTGCGACTCGGTGGCCACAGGATCCTGAGCCACAACTACACAAAAGATGCGAGTCACAACTACACAAAAGATGCCCCAACACTGGCCTATCATAGCCAATGTGATCGAATTGTTTTATGCCCCGGGACTGACGTATGCAGTGGAAACCACATGGACATCGGCTTCAACGGGACAACACAACAGGACGTTTGCGCAGCAAAAGCAGCCCAACTGAGCAACGCGGCGTCGCTCCCTCGTCGGGCCTGCTTCTCGGAAATGTGCTGCGCCACCTTCTCTAGCAGCTCCGCTTTGGACATGTTACGTCCAGCTTCACGTTGCTGCACGCCCGCGGTGCCAGCAAGCTGTCGCAGCTGCACGGCGGTCTGCTTGGCCAGCTCCTCGCGCAGCCAGCCAGCTCCCCGCGCAGTAAAGCCTTCTCGCATAGAGTCCAGGAGCTGCGACTCGGTGGCCGCAGGATCCTGAGCCACAACTACACAAAAGATGCGAGTGGCAACTACACAACAGATGCCCCAACACTGGCCTATCATAGCCAATGTGATCGAATTGTTTTATGCCTCGGGACTGACCTATGCTGTGACAACCACATGGACATCGGCTTCAACGCGACAACGCCACAGGAGGTCTGCGCAGCAACAGCAGCCCAACTGAGCAACGCGGCTCTAGCAGCTCCGCTTTGGACATGTTGCGTCCAGCTTCACGTTGCTGCACGCCCGGCGCCAGCAAGCTGTCGCAGCTGAGCGGCGGTCTGCTTGGCCAGCTCCTCGCGCAGCCAGCCAGCTCCCCGTGCGGCCAAGCCTTCTCGCATAGAGTCCAGCAGCTGCTGCGACTCGGTGGCCACAGGATCCTGAGCCACAACTACACAAAAGATGCGAGTCACAACTACACAAAAGATGCCCCAACACTGGCCTATATAGCCAATGTGATCGAATTGTTTTATGCCCCGGGACTGACGTATGCAGTGGAAACCACATGGACATCGCCTTCAACGGGACAACACAACAGGACGTTTGCGCAGCAAAAGCAGCCCAACTGAGCAACGCGGCGTCGCTCCCTCGTCGGGCCTGCTTCTCGGAAATGTGCTGCGCCACCTTCTCTAGCAGCTCCGCTTTGGACATGTTGCGTCCAGCTTCACGTTGCTGCACGCCCGGCGCCAGCAAGCTGTCGCAGCTGCGCGGCGGTCTGCTTGGCCAGCTCCTCGCGCAGCCAGCCAGCTCCCCGCGCGGCCAAGCCTTCTCGCATAGAGTCCAGCAGCTGCTGCGACTCGGTGGCCACAGGATCCTGAGCCACAACTACACAAAAGATGCGAGTCACAACTACACAAAAGATGCCCAACACTGGCCTATCATAGCCAATGTGATCGAATTATTTTATGCCCCGGGACTGACCTATGCTGTGGAAACCGCATGGACATCGGCTTCAACGGGACAACACAACAGGACGTTTCCGCAGCAAAGGCAGCCCAACTGAGCAACGCGGCGTCGCCCCCTCGTCGCGCCTGCTTCTCGGAAATGTGCTGCGCCACCTTTTCTAGCAGCTCCGCTTTGGACATGTTACGTCCATCTTCACGTTGCTGCACGCCCGCGGTGCCAGCAAGCTGTCGCAGCTGCACGGCGGTCTGCTTGGCCAGCTCCTCGCGCAGCCAGCCAGCTCCCCGCGCGGTATAGCCTTCTCGCAGAGTATCCAGTAGCTGCTGCGACTCGGCGGCCACAGCATCCTGAGCCATAACTACACCAAAGATGCCCCAAGAGTGGCTAATATTATTAAATACACAATGTTATCGAACTGCTCTAGGCCCCAAGACTGGCCTATAGTTAATGTTATCGAATACCGAAGCTTCACTGGTCGTGCATTCACTCGTGCACTTGCTAACCCGCAAAACTCCACATGCATGGCTGAAGCAAGACAAGAAGCAGGTGAAGCGACGTGCATCCTGTGCCTCTGTGTCTTGCTCCTGTCTGGGCCCTGCCTGGTCCTTGGACAGCCGCTGCAGCGCGTCACCATTGCCGTGCGCCATGCAAGCAACACACTCGATGCGGCGGTTTACTACACTATACCGATGCCCAACACGCTCGATGCGGTGGCTTCGATCTGGCGAGCTGTAGAAAATGTAGCTGCTGCTGGCTAGTCTTGCTCTAATGCTACAGGCGCGCCTGCGATCTGGCGAGCTGTAGAAAATGTAGCTGCTGCTGGCTAGTCTTGCTCCAATGCTACAGGCGCGCCTGCGCCGCTACATATGGGGCTCCGAAAATATGCTGCCCACGGCGCAAAAGCGAAAGCATGTCTCAAGGTAAACCGAGCCTCAACTCAAGTGTGCACGCAGTGCTCCAAAAACTATCGGAACATCTGCCGGGTGCAAAGGCTGTTGCTGAGAAGTCTTGCTTCAATGCTGCATGTGGAAATGTGCCAGACACTCTTTGCAAACACCGCAGGTAAACTTGACTTCACCCTGTAGGACGCCGCTGCCCACGAAACAAAAAGAAACAAGCCAATAGCAACCGGCTCCTGCCCGATTCAGGCACAAAAATCGCTATGTCGTGAAAGCGTATGTTTCTGCAAAGCAGGCTCGTGTAACTTAGCTCTGCGCAAGATGGCTCTGCGCAACTTGGAGCGCTGCTACCTGGCGCGCGCAAGCTACTTTACGCGAGTGGCTCTGCGCAACTTGGCTCTGTGAAGCGTGGCTCTGCTGCAAGTCTGCTCAGCGCAATGTGCTTTGCTCAAGTTACGCTACACGATTTCTCACGAAAGTGGTCTGCGCAAGCTGCAGTGTTCCAGGCTGCTTTCGGGCAAGTTGCTCTCTGCACGCTGCTGCACGCAAGTGCTCTGTGCAGGTTGCTCTGAGCAAGTGCTCTGAGCAAGTTGCTCTGCGCACGTGCTCTGCGCCAGTTGCTCCGTGCGAGCGCTTTGCGCATGTGCTCTGTGCAAGTTGGTCTGTGCAAGTTGCTCTGCGCAAGTGCTTTGTGCAAGTGCTCTGTGCGATTCGCAGAGCGCAAGTTGCTCTGCGCCAGTGACTCTGCGCAAGTTGCTCTGCGCAAGTGCTGCCGGAGCTGTGGGAATGTACTTCGCGCGTACTATTTTTGTACTTAAAAGTTGCGACTTTCCAGCCGGAGCTGCGGGAGTGTGCTCCGCGTACTACGTTGTACTTAAAAGTTGCGATTTTCCAACCGGAGCTGCGGGAGCACGCTCCGCATACTACGTCTGTACTTAAAAGTTGCGATTTTCCAGCCGGAGCTGCAGGAGCACGCTCCGCGTACTACGTTTGTACTTACAAGCTGCGATTTTCAAGCCGGAGCTGCCGCGGACCAGGCGGGAATCGAACCCGCGACCGCGGGATTGCGAAAGCAGGCGCGCGAGCCACGAGACAACTTCCAAAGGCCATTTCGCGAGCAACAAATTCGCACGGCGCCACAGCGAGAGCGCTTCAACACGCACGATCCCCGCCGCGCGCAGCTTGCAGAAATCGTAAAAAGTCCTCAGCTTTTGAACCTCGACCACGCGAATCTCCGCAGAGGGTCGCGCGCGCACCGCAGAAATCGTAAAACGTCCTCAGTTTTTGAACCTTGACCACGCGGATCTCCGCAGAGGGTCGCGCGCGCATGCTAAAAATCGTAAAAAGTCCCCAGTTTTTGAACCTCGACCACGCGAATCTCCGCAGAGGGTCGCGCGCGCACCGCAGAAATCGTAAAACGTCCTCAGTTTTTGAACCTCGACCACGCGAATCTCCGCAGAGGGTCGCGCGCGCATGCTAAAAATCGTAAAAAGTCCCAGTTTTTGAACCTCGACCACGCGAATCTCCGCAGAGGGTCGCGCGCGCACCGTTGAAATCGTAAAACGTCCTCAGTTTTTGAACCTCGACCGCGCGAATCTCCACAGAGGGTCGCAATCCCGAGCGACGATCAAACTCCCGCCCCGGCGCCTTAGAAACCTAAACTAACTTACATAGCTGCTAACGCCGAAGCTCTACGCAAGCTCTACCTAACCTTGGCTCTGTGCCACTTGGCTCTATGTAACTTGGCTCTATGTAACTTGGCTCTATGTAACTTGGCTCTATGTAACTTGGCTCTATGTAACTTGGCTCTATGTAACTTGGCTCTATGTAACTTGGCTCTATGTAACTTGGCTCTATGTAACTTGGCTCTATGTAACTTGGCTCTATGTAACTTGGCTCTATGTAACTTGGCTCTATGTAACTATGTAACTTGGCTCTATGTAACTTGGCTCTATGTAACTTGGCTCTATGTAACTTGGCTCTATGTAACTTGGCTCTATGTAACTTGGCTCTATGTAACTTGGCTCTATGTAACTTGGCTCTATGTAACTTGGCTCTATGTAACTTGGCTCTATGTAACTTGGCTCTATGTAACTTGGCTCTATGTAACTTGGCTCTATGTAACTTGGCTCTATGTAACTTGGCTCTATGTAACTTGGCTCTATGTAACTTGGCTCTATGTAACTTGGCTCTATGTAACTTGGCTCTGTGCAACTTGGCTCTGTGTAACTTGGCTCTGTGCAACTTGGCTCTGTGCAACTTGGCTCTATGTAACTTGGCTCTGTGCAACTTGGCTCTGTGTAACTTGGCTCTGTGCAACTTGGCTCTGTGCAACTTGGCTCTATGTAACTTGGCTCTGTGCAACTTGGCTCTGTGCAACTTGGCTCTGTGCAACTTGGTTCTGTGCAACTTGGCTCTGTGCAACTTTGGCTCTGTGCAACTTCGCTCTCTGCAACTTGGCTCTGTGCAACTTGGCTCTATGCAACTTGGCTCTGTATAACTTGTCCAAGGGCTCCGCACGGAAGAACCCTTCGCGATGCTTTCGGGAAAAACACACACACACGCGAGCACACACACACAAGCACACAGAAACAAGCACACACACACACACACACAAGCCCACACAAACACACAGAAACAAGCACACAACACAAGCCCCCACAAACACACACACACAAGCACACACACACACGCACACACAAGCACACACGCAAGCACACACACAAGCACACACACACATAACAGACACACACACACAAGCACACTCGCACAACAAGCACACACAAGCACACAGAAAACAAGCACACACACACAAGCACACATAACAAGCACACACATAACACACACACATAACACACACAGACACAGAAAACACACAACACACACAAGCACACACAAGCACACATGCAAGCACACACAAACAAGCACACACACAAGCACACGCACACACACACACATAACACACACACATAACACGCACACACGCACAAGCACACATAACACGCACACACACACACACATAACACACACACATAACATAGACACACACACACACGCACGCACGCACGCACCCACCCACACACACACACACAACACCACACAACACCACACAACACCACACAATACCACACAACACCACACAACACCACACAACACAACACAACCCAACTCACCCAGAGCTTCCTCGGCCTGAGTAACTTAGGCCTTTTGTCAACGGCCGTAAACACCCCGTAAAAAGGCCGTAAAAAGGACGTAAACACCCCGTAAAAAGGCCGTAAAAAACCTCTGTGTTTAAATGGCCTCCGTAACTAAGGCCTTTGGACCCCCTGGGTCAACACAACACAACACAACACAACAACGCAACACAACACAACACAACACAACACAACACAACACAACACAACACAACACAACACAACACAACACAACACAACACAACACAACACAACACAACACAACACAACACAACACAACACAACACAACACAACACAACACAACACAACACAACACAACACAACACAACACAACACAACACAACACACACACACACACAGAAGCGCACACAAGAACACACACAAGCACACACACAAGCACACAGAAACAAGCGCGCACACACACACACAAGCACACACACAAGCACACACACACAGCCTGAATCCACATCTCGTTTGGCCATTTCGTCGTACGCGCAAGTGCGCAGGCGCAAGAGGACCCTTTGCCCGTGCTGCAAAAGCTGGCAGAGCTTTTGTGGCGGGCGGAGTTCCCGGAAGGGCCGCAGGATCAGCGGCGCTTTGTGGCAGGACGGACCCGGTGGGGTGGGCCGAGTGATTCCCCAGGTCTGACAAAACGTTTTGGGCAGAGAGGGGTGTGATGTTTGCCAATGTTGCGAAAGAAAGCATCGCCAGAGTTCGGGAAGAGTGTAGATCAGCCTGGCTGGTTACTTGATGACCGCAATTTCGGGGATTTGTATGTGGGTATGGGTCCGACTTTTTCGATTTTCGTTCGCATCTGCCAAGGTTCAAGCCATTTGGGGGCCACCAACCATGTTTGAGTCCCACCCATGGTTGCTGGCGATTCCATGGATTTGTGTGTCTTCGTCTTGGGTGTCCTCCCCCAACGGGAGCCGCAGGCTTTGCAGACTGCCTACCTCAGGGGCTCAAGGAGGAGCCGCGGCCTGAGAGAGACGACGCCTTTCGGAGCGACGTGGCGCAACCAGGCATCCGGTTGCTTAGCTTTTTAGCCTTCTGGTGTTTAGTGGTAGTGTCCATTTAACCCACTGAAAGTTAAACTTTTAGCGGGGGATCTGAGGGTGTCCCGTAAAAAGAACGCCAACAACAAAGGGTGCCCTCCCGAAGAAGTGACACACCCATAGTGGGTTTGGCCATTTAACCCACCAAAAGTTAAACTTTTAGCGGGGGATCTGAGGGTGTCCCGTAAAAAGAACGCCGACAACAAAGGGTGCCCCCCCTGAAGAAGTGACACACCCGTAGTGGGTTTGGCCATTTAACCCACCAAAAGTTAAACTTTTAGCGGGGGATCTGAGGGTGTCCCGTAAAAAGAACGCCAACAACAAAGGGTGCCCTCCCGAAGAAGTGACACACCCATAGTGGGTTTGGCCATCTAACCCACCAAAAGTTAAACTTTTAGCGGGGGATCTTGAGGGTGTCCCGTAAAAAGAACGCCAACAAGAAAGGGTGCCCTCCCGAAGAAGTGACACACCCATAGTGGGTGTGGCCATTTAACCCACCAAAAGTGAAACTTTTAGCGGGGGATCTGAGGGTGTCCCGTAAAAAGAGATCGCCAACAACAAAGGGCGCCCTCCCGAAGAAGTGACACACCCATAGTGGGTTTGGCCATTTAACCCGCCAAAAGTTAAACTTTTAGCGGGGGATCTGAGGGTGTCTCGTAAAGAGAACGCCAACCAGAAAGGGTGCCCCCCCGAAGAAGTGACACACCCATAGTGGGGTTGGCCACTCAACCCACCAAAAGTTAAACTTTTAGCGGGGGATCTGAGGGTGTCCCGTAAAAAGAACGCCAACAACAAAGGGTGCCCTCCCGAAGAAGTGACACACCCATAGTGGGTTTGGCCATTTAACCCGCCAAAAGTTAAACTTTTAGCGGGGGATCTGAGGGTGTCTCGTAAAGAGAACGCCAACCAGAAAGGGTGCCCCCCCGAAGAAGTGACACACCCATAGTGGGGTTGGCCACTCAACCCACCAAAAGTTAAACTTTTAGCGGGGGATCTGAGGGTGTCCCGTAAAAAGAACGCCAACAACAAAGGGTGCGCTCCCGAAGAAGTGACACACCCATAGTGGGTTTGGCCATTTAACCCACCAAAAGTTGAACTTTTAGCGGGGGATCTGAGGGTGTCCCGTAAAAAGAACGCCAACAACAAAGGGTGCGCTCCCGAAGAAGTGACACACCCATAGTGGGTTTGGCCATTTAACCCACCAAAAGTTGAACTTTTAGCGGGGGATCTGAGGGTGTCCCGTAAAAAGAACGCCAACAACAAAGGGTGCGCTCCCGAAGAAGTGACACACCCATAGTGGGTTTGGCCATTTAACCCACCAAAAGTTGAACTTTTAGCGGGGGATCTGAGGGTGTCCCGTAAAAAGAACGCCAACAACAAAGGGTGCGCTCCCGAAGAAGTGACACACCCATAGTGGGTTTGGCCATTTAACCCACCAAAAGTTGAACTTTTAGCGGGGGATCTGAGGGTGTCCCGTAAAAAGAACGCCAACAACAAAGGGTGCGCTCCCGAAGAAGTGACACACCCATAGTGGGTTTGGCCATTTAACCCACCAAAAGTTGAACTTTTAGCGGGGGATCTGAGGGTGTCCCGTAAAAAGAACGCCAACAACAAAGGGTGCGCTCCCGAAGAAGTGACACACCCATAGTGGGTGTGGCCATTTAACCCACCAAAAGTGAAACTTTTAGCGGGGGATCTGAGGGTGTCCCGTAAAAAGAACGCCAACAACAAAGGGCGCCCTCCCGAAGAAGTGACACACCCACAGTGGGTTTGGGTAGTCTTGAGGCTGGGTTCAACAGATTTGGTGACCCTTGTACCCCTGTTTGGGTGTTGCTGTTGGTTCCCTTTTTCTTTTTTGGTCTTTGGGCTAACCGAACCCCAAGAGGCGACAACTATCTATGGGCATTCCTTCGAAAGAACATATCGCTGGACTGAGCCGTTTCATATCAGATTCAATCGCAAGCGCCTGGTGCTCGCGCTACCCTCCGCCCGCACTTAGGTGGCCAAGGAGGGCGCTGGAGGCGCAAGGTGCGAAGTCCAGCGCGGCCGAGTCCAGGAATTGTGGTTCGCCACGTTGAGAGGCGATCGCCATTTAGGTTCTTCGCTCCCTTATAGCAAGTTGTTCTCCCCACTGAATGTGGGGGACTTATAAGTGGGTTATAACCCACGTGCGCCAACAACTTACTTGGCCGAATGCCCAAGCAGTTTCATGACCTCATGGGGCCATGCACTTCACATATTTTGGCAAGCGGCTTGAATGCAGCAGTAGGCCCAGGGAGAGGTCGGGGCACAAGCGCAAATCTGGGTGATTGCCATCTGGTATTTGTTCACGAAAGATTCAGCGTTCCGGGCAGGCTACGTGCTTTTTCTGTGTGATTGACTCGTTTGCATATTGGTGGAAAGGCGTAGAAATCCCTGGCTCTTCAAACAGTGTATGTGTTTGCGCTACCTTTGAGCCTTGAAAGTGTGGCAGGTAGGACTCGCTTCAAGCAGATGGGACAAGCAGCCACGTTGCAAGCCACACTTAGCGGGTTGACCAGCTTATTTTCAGGGTTTTGTTTGGCAGGAAGGAAAAAACACGACTGTACAATGAAAACCCCGGATTTGTTTGCCCCAGTGGTAGATTTTTGATCAAGGATCGTTCCTTTTTAGTGGGAAATCATTCTTGGAGGGGGACAACATGTGTATCATCTAATACAACTACTATTTATAACGATAATACAACAAGTCATACCATCATCTATTGATAGTAGTGCTTTCAAACACGGATCATCCTATGAGCATGCTTTTGCTATCACAAAAAATATACACGATGGATAGTATTCATGATGACATCCATATATATATATATACACACCGGGCATATCAGCCTTTGGACTCGTTTCGACGGCTTCGCTTCGGGCGCCATGCGCCGCATGCCCCATGCGGCGCTGGCGCGCGCTGGGCGCCGCATCTTCGGCCGCGGACTTCGGCGCCTGGGGACCCGCCAGGTCCGCGAGGTGGTGCCGCGCCTTGGCGAAGCTGTGAGCTGGGAAGGACGAGGGGGGTTGGGGGGGGGGGGCTTGGGGGGGAGGGGGGAGGGAGCCCCAATAAGCCCCAAATAAGGCCTCAAGGGCTTATTTGGGTTGAACAAGCAGAACAAGAAATGGTTGGAAAAACAGCAGGGTGTAGGTGGGTGGCGGGGCGGGGGGAGAGGGGGTGGGTGGGTAGGGGGGGTTGGGTGGGCAAAAAATGAAAAATTAATTGTAAAAGACAAGAGATGGCGGCCTCTCCTGTTTTCTTGTGGAGCCAACCCGAAGCAGTTCAAAGGGAGAAGAGACACAGGCCCTGTTGTGAGGCCTGTTGTGGAAGACAGGCGCCAGCCCCTCGAGCCTAGGCCATTTATGGAGCAAGAACAACACAATCAGATAGTTGGAAGAGTGCCTAGCGTGATTTGTCTCACGTCAAACGGCTCGACAGATAGGTGGAACCAGTTCAAAAGTTCTCCATGGGTCGGTTAGATCTTTCACTCAAATCGTATTTCTGGGTATCGTATTATGTATCATGGCAAATAGTAAATATAGTATTGTAACCCCCCCCTTGAAATACTCAGGTTTTTGGACAGAGCTGAGGTTTTTGGCCAGACTGGGGGTGACAAATGCCTTGAGACTCTGAAATGAACTGAACACTCAACTCCATGCCAATTCTAACCAAGCAGAAGTTAAGCTCAACGTTGATTAGGAGTTGCGAGTTGTGTGACCGTCACATTGGCATGCGCGAAGTGCACTTAAAGTCACATTGGAGTATGCAAAGTGCAATTTGGCAGCTCCAGCTCAAAAAGCACAACTGTTCAGTACAGGAGTAGTGCGCGAAGTGTGTTTTGGCAGCTTCAACGCGCCTGTAGCAGCCCTATTATTAGGTGTGTGTTATTTTTGTTTGGCAGCGAAATTCAGCAAAACATCAACTCGGGGAAAAGGAACTCATTCCTAATTCATGTCCTTGCGCAGTTGCATTTACATGTTAACTCGAGTGTTCTGCATAATTCCTGACATGCTAGTTCAGTCTATTTGAAACATATGTTGCTAAGCAACTATCCCACGTGTGTGTGTGTGTGTTGCTTGTCTAAGTTGGTTCCATCATCGCCAACAACAACTATTGAAATTCAAGTAAGGGAAGAATATCCAGTTAAAAAAGCTTTCGAGTTCAAACCAAATTCAAGTTTACTCGTTTGCAGTTTCTTGCGCATTTCAAAAAGCAACTGCAGAAGATAGCTAACTCAATTTTGAAAGGGTTATTGTCCTTATCGAACTCCATGTGGTTTGAACCAAGCAAGAACTGAGCCAAGCCAATGTCAGGAACGTGTTTTCAATCATAGATCCTATTCTTTGCATAAATGCTGTCAAACGCAGTGTTTTCAGCATTTGCTCAGATCATGTTGCCCTGGATCGAACATCGAATATACAAGATTCCACAAACATATTAATGTTTAGAATATACCCAATCCTGGCCCCCCCAAAACTTGACCGTTTGTTCTAGACTCACTAAGGTTTCGCCCCCAGCATTGAAGATTGAAGATCTACCAGATTTTCTATTTGAGAATCTTCCATCCTGGCCAGCCCTCAAGTCCACAAAAAAACTGTACAGGTGTCAGCAACCTTTTTCCCCCTGACCAATAGCAGGCAGTGCAAGTGCACATCCACATTTTCATTCTGACAACGTGCGCTCCCGGTCTGCCTTTTGGATTCTTCAAATCCGCACTTAAGACAATCCAGGATCTGGATGGGAGTTTGAAGATTCTCTGACAACTCTTTCTGAATTCTCCAAATATGTACTTAGAGTAATCCAGGACGTGCTAGCACGTGCTAGCACATCCTGGATTGAAGATTGAAGATTCTCAGACCACTTGTTCTGGAAATCTTCAATCCATCCTGAGGACAAACTGGCACATGCTAGCACGTGCTAGCACATATCAGTTAGACCTAAGGACGGACTGAAGATTTCCAGAACAAGTGGTCTGAGAATCTTCAAGCTTCAATCTTCAATCCAGGATGTGCTAGCACGTGCTAGCACATCCTGGATTGCACTAAGTACCGATGCTAGAATTTAAGTCTAAAAAGGAGAGCATGATTTAGAGCCTCTGAGTATTCCAGGGAGGGTTCCATATATATATGTATACATATATGTGTGATTTTACATGAGTCCTCACTCAACAACTGCATGAGTAAAGACGTGACCAAGATTCTACGTTGGTTTGAAAGCCTACTGGCAAGAGCCAACCAGGCGATCCGGACACCAAAATCAGAGGCTCAAATCCGCGAAGTGCAAACCTCCCAGTCTTGGGACTGTCCGATTTGCCCCCCGATCTCTCCCAGGCAAAGCTTCGAAGCGCTCAAGGTCCTCTCAGGCTTGGATCTGCCCAGGCAGGAGCAGGTGCCCTTTTTGGCTCGAATTTGGGTGTGGGGTAAAATCAGGGAGCCCCCCCCCTTTTTCGTTTCCCTTCAGCCCAAGCAGAGTCTTTTTGGCGAAGTGAGTCTTCAGTCAGGTGTGTGCGCAGTGGGATGGGTCTTTGTGCAGCTGCGAAAAAGGCACAGGTCTCTTCTGAATGATGTTTTTGATGTTCCGGTTCGTTAGCAAACTGAAGTGGATGTGCAAGACCTTGCATGCTACCAGAGGTTTACACCAGTGGCCCTTGGTGGGGGTTGCATCCATTCCAACTGGATTTCTCCACTGCTATTGGGTTGGATCTTTAGACTTTAACCTTTTGGATTCCCCTCATATTTCTTTTTCCCAGCCAAAAGTTTAAAGCTTTTTGCTGGGGGACCTACAGCACCCAAGATTTCGTCCATCCACAGTCTGTCTTCCAAGCACCACATCCAGCGATTTCGCCGGTGAGGCGCTTCAAAGGCAGCGACTTCGATGCCGGCGCCTGCCGCGCGGCGTGCGAGGCGCTGTCGCGGAGTGTGGCGGAAGGCGGGCCACACGGTAGACGTGGCGTGTGCGCCCTGGGGGGTGGGGGTAACCAAGGGAACCACCTTGTTTTAGTAACCAAAAAGGAAAATAGCCAGTGACCTATATGGGGAACTGGGATCTGGGCACCCTGAGCTGTCGCTCGCTTTGTGCTTTGGTATTTCTCGTTTCTGCGCTGTTTTCGCATGAGTTCACACCCCTTTGCAGGGGAGCCTGTTGTTTTGTTTGTTTCCAAAGCCCAGTGGGCCTGAGCAAAGGGCCATTTCTGATGGCTGGATTCTAAAGCTTCCATGCCTGAAGTATCGCGGCCAGCCTGTTACGCCAAGGCCACAATCTCATGCTACAGTATGCGCCTTGGGGGAATATGTTCATTTGCTGATAGGAAGAAAGGCGCCTCTCAGCACACTGGATCCTGTCAGAGTTTCAAGTTCATGTGAGCCACGATGAAAACCCGGGTAGATGAAGGTTAGTAAGGGACAATCCCGACCATAAATAGCTGCGGATATCCGCCTTCTTAATTCTTGAAGCATGGTTTTGGGATTACGACCATGGTTCTGCCAGAGTTCCACCTCCATTGGCTTGATATGTTTGTCCCTGTTGGTTTTAAAGGGATATGACTACCGGACATATTCTTTTGATTTTTTCCAGGAGGCGTCCAAGCGAATGGAAGTCCAAGTTTCCAAGTTCATGCTTTGACGGTTGCGAAGCTTCGCGAGGCAACCACCACCAGGTGGACGGCCTAATGGTGGCACTTCGCCTGATGATGCCTGCCCAAAGCGGCTCCGAGAGGGCATTTGCCAGGCCAGCGCAGCACCAGCCATCCAGTTCCGTAGTTTTTTGGCTTTTGAGTCGAGTTAGTGGTTGAGTTTCCGAACCTTACCCACTAAGAGCTATTCACTTTTGGCAGGGGATCAGGTTGGACAGCATGGGAGCTCTAGCTTGAGGGAAAGGGGACAGAACAAAACATAGCTGGTGAAGATTTAGGATCTGTCTTTGCAAGTGGACTCACACGATTCCTGAGTTCTGACTTCGAATTGGTGGCGACTCCTTTTGCATACATCTTCACTGTCCTTCTTGGCAAGTTGTTTGCTGTCTTGTTGTTTTTTTGGTTCTGCGGGATTTTTGAGGTGCGCGGGACTGCAAAAGGCCGCCACCAGTTCTTTGCCCAGGCCATTCCTTCCATTTGCTTAAGAATACTTCTTTTAATGTTCCCTTAGTTGTATAAGGAATTTATCACTGGACAAATATTTCTCAATGTTTTCCAGGGGTCTCCACCTGGACGCTTCCCTTTGGGGTGCCACCGAGCGACAAGCCGAAGATCAGGCCCCGGGAGGACTTCATCCTGCGCCCAGAGGTGTTGACCTGGTCCTCTCAGGACTTCCTCGGCGGCTTGGAGGCGGGGGAACACGCGCGGAACGCGCGCCGTGGGGTTCGCGTTGTTTGCTTGGCCTTGCAGGTGGTTGTTGGGTTTGTCTCATGTTTTTTTGCACGCTCCTTAAAAGATAATTACATTTTGCAAGCATTTGAAACATGAGGCTTTTTTCACCAAAATAAAGTTGGACACCACCATTTACAAGTTGCAATGTTCAGGTGTATAACGTAAGGATCCCTGTTGCACATTCAAAGTGTTGAATGGGACCCAGTTGTTTTGGAGGAGGTTCGCTGTCCAGAGTCAATTAAGACATTGTAAGGAGAGCAATGTCGCTGGAAAGGGTAGGGGTCGAAATCTCATCCCGCCAGGAATTGGACCGCTGTTTTTTCTCCGGTTTCCATGTACCTTTGTGGCTGCCAGGCATCCGGTTCCTCAGCTTTGTAGCTTTTGAATGTGTCTAGTGGTTGTTTCCGTATTTGATCCACTAAAAGTTGGTCACTTTTAGCAGATCTGAGGACAGCTCAGTTCGCAGGGCAAGCCATTTTGGGGTCACACTATGTTTGGCCCTTGCTCATGTGAACCAGACATGGTAGATCAGCTGTCTTCGATGAGTCAATGACCTTTCAGGTAACCCTTGACTGGTTTGGATTGGTGGTTTGGAGGTGTTCCGGGCCAGTTGAGCATGTAGCGCGGTTTGTTTGTAAAGGACAGTCCCGATCACAAATGGGTGGCCACCCTTTTGATTCTTTGCTTGTTTTTGGGCAAACCAAGGTTAGAAACGGATTGAAATCCGGCTCAGTTGAACCCCGTATCTAAGAAACCGACTACAGGAAGTTCTATAGGAACCCCCTGATTTTGGTGGGAATTGGCTAGTTTCCTTTAGGATTTCCTGCTGGTTTCTATGACTGCAGGTGTTGAAAGGGCCTCTTCCAAGCAGAGCCATTTTTGTTCAGGATTGTCACGAGCGCCAAAAAGAAGCCAAGGAGGTTAAAGGTATGACCAGGCACTCGCCTTTCGCTCCACAAGGGAACGGGTTATTTGTACATATGTGTATGAGCCAAAATCAAACCACCAGGAATTGGACCGCAGGTTTTAGTGCATGGTTCCATTTACTAGGGCAACCCATTTCGGGTACCCATTTTTGACCCACAGCCATAGATACATATATATATATATATATACATAGTTGTTGATGGGACACATTGTTCATTTTTATTTATTTATTGTGGTTTCCCCACGTAACTGCTAAAGTTTATAATTGTTTGCTCTGCTTCCAACGCCAACCAAGATATTAACGCTGCTCATCGATGTGGAATATTCCTCGCACCTCTTGTACCGCAGGCTTTAGTCCCTGGTTCCATTTACCAAGATTCCATTTCGGGCACCAATTGTTGAGCCACAGCTATATATACATATATACATATCTATATACATATATATATATACACATATATATATATATATACATATATATATATATATACACATATATACACACATATATATATATAGGGTGACCATATATATATATATATACATATATATATATGTATATATATATTGCAAACCACTGAGATCTGCCACGAGGCACATCTTCCGCTCGGGTCGCTCTGTTCGGTTTCCAGGAGAACATGCGCATCGTGCAGAAGTGCGAGGCGGACCGCGGCTCAGTTCTTGGGGCAAGCGACCTGGAGTCTCCTTCTGACGCTTTAAGCATGGGGTAATGATCTCATTAGGGTCATGGAGACCCCAGGTATATACATGGAAACTTCTTATTTTGGGTAATGACCCCAATTTTTCAGGGTCATGGAGACACTTCTGACAGGCCTTTCGGGTAATGGGGTCGAAACCCCCTTTGTTTGGGGTAATGATCTCATTAGGGTCATGGAGACTCCAGGTATATGGAAACTTCTTAGACAGCCCTGTCGGGTGTCCTGGCCGAGAAACCCAGGTGCTTTCCCTATCGCCTTGCTGGTGAGATAAGTAGGGACTGTGGGAATGACCCCAATGATGTACACCATCCAACTGGACTGGCGTCCTTTTTTCGGGGACCAAAGCAACTGGGTTCATTCCATTTTTCATTCCCTGCTCGCACCGAGCTTGCTGCCCAAGGAATTAGAAATGGAATGCACCTAGTTGCCTTGGTCCCCTCCAAAAGGAAACCCGGTGGGATGCGTTAAATTCCATTTCTTCAGGGAATGAACCCAGTTGCTTTGGTCTTAAGGAAAAAAACACCGCGTTGGGCTGGAATTTTGCGCGGGTTTCTCCTTCCCCACGTCTCGCCCCAAGTCACCCCTCGCGGCTTCCGCGGCTTCCGCTTCGATCGCTCCCAGGACTTCGCCCAGCTCATGGCGGCCCACGCCGAGGGCTTCCGGGCGCCGGAGGTGCTGGCGGCAGGCGCTGGTGACCGCAGGGTTTAGTCCAGGGGAGGGGACTGCAGATTTTTTCGCCCAGGTTTCCATGTACCAGGGCAAGCCATTTTGGGGTTACCCGATTTTTGACCCACAGCCAAATGTTTCCCCGTCTGGCGAGCTCGGGGCTCGAAGCTTTTCGGCTCGGTTGCTTGCGTTGCTTGCGGCTTGCGGTTAGAAGGTGGTGAGAGAAAGTGTTTTGTTTGTTGGGTGCCCGTGTTTGGAAAACAAGATATTGTTTTTCAACTCGTTGCTTGTTGCAAGGCGGTGAACCATTGTTTGTTGTTGGGTGTCCATGTTTGGATAAAGCAGAGTCAATCGAGGAGGCTCATGCAGTGGTTTGGGATTTGTGCTCGTACGCAGGTTTGGACTTGGCAGTGGTGTACCTCAAGAATTACTCTTTGGACAAGGCAGGGATTGCCGCGTGTCAGGCGGCAAGGGGTGGCAAGGGGTGGCAGGGGCACCTCGAGTGTCTTGGTAAGTCGGTTAGGTTTAAGTTGGCCGAGTTCTCTTCCAGGGTTTAACACTTCGATGAGTGTGTGGCAAGCAGGCAACTGCCTGGTTCTCGACATGGAATCAGTTTGCAACAATTTGTCTCAATTTGCCTTAAATCTGTTAAGCTGGCAAGGTTTCAAAAGAATGGCGGCTGAGCAGTTGGAGTTTGGCGCAAAGGATGTGTACACACTTTGGCCCAACATGTGTTGCTTAACTTCCTATAGTTTCTCCCTTGCACCCAATACATCAGATTTTGTTTTTAACTGGGACAGGGATACCCTTCAAAGGGAAACACAAGAGAAATGTTCAAGGGATTTGGATTGGCCCACTGAGCCCAACGACTTAGAACTTGGGGTCCTTGTTTTTCTAAGGGTACCTCCTCTCTGTGGTTTGTTAAAGAACTTCAAAAAGGAGAACCACCATTTCTTTCTCTTTTGGTGGACCAAAAGGAAAACCGCCCAGTTTGTGTTTGTTGCCTTTTTTAATTATTATTATTATTTTGTTTATTTGTTTAACTTTTTTTCTTTACTTTTTTTTTAATTATTTTATTTATTTTTTGGTGGGGCTGAGAAAGGAGTGGCCCTGGTTCCTCGTTGCCGCGCGTGTTGCGGGCTACGCGTCCCGCGGCCCGTGGCCCGGCCAGGCGGACGCCCTCTACTCCGCCATGGAGTGGCACTGCATGTCCCGGGGCCTGCCATGGGACGCGCCTCGGGCGGATGTGTCGTTTTCTGCGCAAGGGAGGTTAGAACTTGAGATCTTTTGGCCAACGACTGGATGTTTTCCGTACTAAACCACTGAGAGTTAGTCACTTTTTGCGGAGCATAAAGCAACCAAGTTTTGGTCGAAGAAGGTTCTGAAGGTATGAAGCCAGAACTAGGTTTCTCAGCTAGGTGCCCTTTCTCACCAACTTTTGCCACTCGTTTTGGGGGACTTCCCCCATTTTGATTCAAACCCACATACAATCCTGTAAACAAACCACGCACAAATCACTTGGGGGCTCAACCAGCGAATCCTCCGGCTCAGCTTAGCTTAGCTTGTGTTTAGTGGTCGGATGTCCGAATCTCACCAACTAAAAGTGAAATCTGCGGGGGATCTGCGGACAGCCCGGGGTGTTTTCCAAAATCGGGGACAGGTACCCCTGACACCCAATACCCATTTTAGGGTATGATGTCGACCCCTACTAAAAAAAGGAGGTATTGACTATGGAAACCCAGGTTGTTCAAAGAAATACCCTCGAAAAAGTGGGTATTTGGAGTAGGTGGTAGGTGGTGAGTCCTTTTGGTTTCCTTTTCAAGCCATCCAAGGGTCCAATTCTCTTGAGAAAAACCCTTCACGCGTGTTCAACGCGTCGGTCAGTCACGACCCACTTTTTCGCTGTCGAGTGGGACGTCCGTTGCGAACACGCCGTCCATTCGGCTGATGGGCAAGAGCTTTTTTTCAAGGTGTGAAAACTCGAGCAGCTCCTAAAGCTGGTGTGTGCGATGTCTTTCCAGCCGAATCAAGCTTAAATGCGGCAAATGCGGCAAATGCATGTTTCAGCTGAAGCCCGGGTCTGAATGAGAGAACCTCAGTCTTGCGGTGTTGGGGTTTCAGGCGTCGACGGTCAAGCGATCATGTTTCAAGTTTGCCACGCAACCGAGCGAAGCCGCCATTTGGCTCAAAATTAAACAGGAGGGGCAAACCGCAGGTTTTGGTCCGTGTTTCCACTTCCCAGGGCAACCCATGTTGGAATTCCGGTCCTTTTGAGCGAAGCCGCCGATCGATTGCAGGTGAAGTTCATGCAGGATCTGGCGACCCTCCGGTGCAAGCAGAACCGGCAGGCGGAGGCGGCGACGCTGCTGGAGGAGAGGAAATGGCCCGAGAGGGTAGAAAAGCATGGAACATAATGGGTGTGGGTCGAAAATAGGTACCCAAAATGGAACCCTGATAAATGGAAACATAGACTAAACCTGCGGTCCCTTGGTGGTCGAATTTTGACCCATGCCCAATCTTGGTGGCTCCCGGCCATCCGGTTCCTTAGCTTTTTAGCTTTTTGGTGTTTAATGGGGATGTCCATTTCACCCACTATAAGTTAGCCACTTTTAGCGGGGGATCTCATGACAGCCCAGAAATGACCAGATATTAGACAAGCACGAGCAAGTGTGAGACTGCGAGTTCACATCTTCTCCCACTTCCCAACCTGTCCCGCTGAAATTGGCAACGTCCGGAAGGGACAGAACGGTGCCATTTGAGCCACAATCAAAACCCGGGTAGATGAAAGTTCGTACGGGGCAGTCCCAGCCAGAAATAGTTGCGGATATCCTCCTTCTTAATTCTTGAAGCATGGTTCTGGGTAGACCATTTTACTACCAGGTTTTGATCTTGACTCATTTGGAGGCCTGCGAAGCCTCTGTTCAGCAACCTGTTTTCAGGCTTGTAAGGCTGCAGCTCTGGAGCCATGGACTTGCGTTTTTTTTGAGGGTACACGTGTTTTCCCCCCCCCAAAAAAAAATGGAGGAAAGGGGCTAGCCAGGGGGTGGCCTGTTGATGGTCCCCTGTTATGTTTTTTACATTCATCTCAAACCTATTAACCACCTTATTCGTTTTTAAAAGGGGTGTTTTGAGGAGCTTATATATCGTTTTCGTTAAGGTAATCATTTGGGTAAATTCTCGCCTTGTTCATTGTTGGGCTGGGGGCCGACATTTTTTCCATTTGAAAGAGTTAACCCTTTTAGTAGTTATCATGTTCTGGGGTGTTGGTGGTGCATTTGTTTTGTTAGTGTTTTTCTCATTAATTTTCATTTATAGGTTAAAAGCTCAGTATAATTATAACATATAAAATTTTACTTGTTATTATTATATTATGATTATAATTTCAGTTCAGGATAATAATTTAATTGATTTGTCTTACTTCTTTCATACATCATTTGAAAAATAATATTAATATCTCTTACTGTATTTTGAACATTAAACTTTTTACTTTCAATAAATAAGTTTACAGTTTCTTTAACATCTTCTCCTTTCTCTTGACTATAACCCAACATCCACAATATATCATAAATCATTTCATATTTTTCTTACTGATTTTAAGAAACTGTTTAACATAATCGTAAGGTGGTATTTTTTTTTACAGTTAGAAATATTAAAATATCATCTTCTACATTTCTATTATGTATTCTTTTTATTCCCATAACACATTTGATTAATTCTTGATAATATCTCCAATTTCTACAAATTTTACATAAATATTATTCATCCATTGAATAATTAATAATATTATTCACTATTTCATTAGGTAAATTTAATTTATACAATTCCATATTTTCTTTTTTGAAGTGACAACAATCATAGCATGTTTTATTGATATAATTATTGATTCCATCACCGTTCATTTTCCTCTTGATATATAAGGTAATATTTCTTTAAGTAGTTTTGGCTAGGGGGTTGCTGGTCGGTTGGTCAGGGTTTCAGGTTTAATTTAAATGTCTTAACCTTCCTGTTAGATTATAAAACAATGTTTAATCATATTATAATTAAATATTATGATTAAGCCATGAAATCATTGTTTCTGTTATGTATAAATTTCAAATGTAATATGTTCTATAGTAATGATTTCGTCTCGTTTCATAGTCTGTTTTATTTCTTGAACTATTTTTTCAATATAAAATTGTAATGACGCTCTACTTGTTATCTTGTTCTGTTTGCTTGATGCATAAGACCTACAGTTGCAAATATTATTATTATACATAATTTTCAAACTAACTTCTATTCCAACCTTTATTTATTCATCATACTTCATCATTCTTAATAATTCTTTTGGTGGTTTCAACGCATATGAAAGTGCTTTATCACCTTTCAAACATATATTGCTAATCAACACATAATAACTACTTTATCCTTCTCGTTCAAAAATAGACGGTTTCCATTTCCTTTGTAAGACCCTTAATGCTTTACACTGTTTTAGTCTTTGCCACCCTTCATTGCCAATCATATAAGAAGCGATGTTTAACAATGCTTCCATAGGTAAGCTAGCACAATTCTCAACCATAAAATTATTCTCTGACATTTTACCCTCACTCATTGTTCTCTTCATATATAAGGTTTTTTCTCTTTAAGTAGTTTTGGCTAGGGGTTGCTAGTCGGCTGGTCTGGGTTTCATGTTTAATTTAATTGTCTTAACCTTCTTGTTAGATTATAAAACAATGTTTAATCATATTATAAGATAATAATATTAATAAACAAAAGTTAATTCGTCCCGTATTTAATCTCACCATCGATACAACCACTATAACAACTCATACTATACTCACAACAATAATGCTCGTATCCTTTTATTAATTGGTCTGTGTAAATTTCAATTAAGTCGCTTAATATGTTTCTCATATAATAACTTCTATTTCTATATGACCACCAACTGTTTAGGTTTGGAAAGCTAAACCCATAACGTTTAATTTTTTTTAAATCTTCAATGTCAAGACATTTTCTTAAAATGATACAAACTTCATTTTCATTATTCTTACAGTATGATTTTAATGCTTGATAATACATGTTTCTATTGTTAAACCGTTCTTTAACTTCTTGTATATCAAATACTCGGTCAATGTGTTTTCTGTAATGTCTTATTTTTATACTATATTGGTTTTCTGCTAGTAGTGTAATAACATTATTTTGCATTTGTTTAATAATGTTTAATTGAAGTTCTGCTTTTTCTAGTCCTTCTTCAGGAATGTCTTTATCTCTCATAAAATGTTCTTCTTCATCCATCAAATACCAGCAATTAAAACATGTTACTCTAATATAACCACCTATAAGATTACAAACATCAACAGGTAAAATATTAGCTAGTGCTACGACAGACTTACATTTTTTATTTTTACAAGGACAATTATCATAATTAACTTGTGACATTTTTTTCTCTTACTATATATATCCATTGTTCTTTAAGTAGTTTTTTTCTTTTATGTTAAGGGGTGGGGTTTATGTTGATACAATTATTTTCTATCAATTTAGTATAATGGCGAGATTAACAAAAGACCAAGTAATCAGCAACATCTATTACGACTTAGACGAGGGTTTCGGAAGCACACAAGCGACACACAAGAAGGCAAAGGAAGAAGACCCAACAATAACATTAGACGATGTAAAGTCTTTCTTAAAGAAACAACCAAATAAACAAATCAAAAATTATAGAGGTACTAATTCCTATACCGCTCCATTCGCACGATATGAATATCAAATAGACATAATGCATATGTCACCTTTAGCAAAAGACAAGATCGTTCCACAGTATGCTTTAGTCGTGATTGACATCTTCAGTAAATTAGCTGATGTAATACCGATGGAGGAAAGAGACGGAGAGCACGTTTTGAAGGCGTTGAGAGCAAGCTTTAAAAAGATGGGTTATCCGATGTCCGTGTATTCCGATGACGATGGCGCGCTTGCAACAAAAAATCAAGTTCAGGATTTCTTCAACAGTGAAGGAATAAACCACATCGTCACGAAGACCCACGCAAATGTAGCCGAGCGTTTTATTAGAACGATGAAAAACAAAATTCACGATAGAGTTAGGTTTAACAACATGAAATGGACCGTGCCCTAACGCCAGCATTGAAACAGTATAACAGCACATCACACTCATCAACAAGGATGACACCGTCTGAAGCACACAAGGACGACAATGAAATAAATGTAAAGGTCAATCTTAAACTACGAGAAAAAAACAAAAGAAAGTATCCCAGAATAGAGGAGAACGACAAGGTAAAAGTGTTTCAAAAGAAAAGGGGTAATTACACCGACAGAAAGGAGTATAACTCTAAATGGTCTAATAAAATATTCAATATTGATAAAATTGAATATGATATTATGGGTAATAAAACTTACAAAGTAGCAGGAATAAACAAACCGCTTTTGAGACACGAAATTTTGTTAGTTAATGATTAAACGTATTTCTTGGTATCTTCTTTATACTTGACTTGATAGTAATCCAGACTTGATTGTTTAGGTTCTTTTATGACTTTTTCATTCAGTTTTTTAACATAAATGTTTCGTTTATTTGTGTATTCGCTACTGTCTCTATCTACAACTTTTTCTTGGTAATTGTTATTGTTATTATATGTAGGTTTAATATTCATGCTCTTTAATATGTTCAGTATGTTTTCATTTTGCTCCAACACTTTTTTCTAATCTTGGAAACAACAACTCCAAACTGCTGTCAATGTTCGCTAAATGTTCTTCCATATACATATATATACTAAATTATAAAACTAAACTTTTAAAACTAAATGTTGCAATTATGTTAAATCTACTCTTTAAATACTAATTTTTCATCATTTCACGTATAGTTTCCTGAGTTTCCTTATCACCATTATCGGATGGTGATGCATGCCTTCCCCATTTGATAGCAATACTATGAACATCTGTTTCTAAGTTTATACTGTCTTTACCAGTTGTTTCTTCAACTGATGAAGAAAAAGAAGAAATTGTTAAAGAAACATCAGTTATTGAGTTTGCTTGTCCAATGTGTAAAAAGATGTTAGAAATGAAAAATGAATTAGAAATACAAAAGAAAGGAAATTGTAAATGTTCGTGTATTCCGACAAGTTTCAACATAAGTAAAAATGATAAGAAAATGAATATTGATAAAACAAACTTAATTAATTCTAAAACAAAATAGCATACTTTCTTACATCTATTATCAGTTATAACAACTTGTTCTATATGTTTTACTTTATCTATTATATCAATATAATCTGAATAACTTCTATTCATATAAAATAATAAATATAAAATATTTTCTAAATAACTTTAATATTATTTTATTATGTCTGATGTTCCAATAATAAAACCAATAAATATAACTGAGTAC